CAAGGGAGCAAATTGATGCCTCTGACTGAAATGCGATCTCTGTGGGAGGGGTTACTGATTTAGAATGCTAAACGGCATTAGGAAATAGCTCAATTGGGACTTTTTGTTCTCTGCTGTGCGTCGTCTCGTAGCCCCTCTCAAATCAATCAAAAGCATCCCGGTTAGAGGCTCAGGCAGCCGGAGCTAACTCCTTTGCACACACCTCTGTCCCCACTGCTCCCTTTTTTCTCTGTTCTTTCATATTTGCATTGGAAAGCTGTTGGCAGCACTTGTCATTTTGTATCATAAGTGATAGCAATTACTATTCCAGAGCCGGGGATCAAAGCAACACCAAAAGGAGGTTTAAAGACAGGAAAGGGGGGGGGGGGAACCCAAACACAGTTTCCCCTCTTCTGTTTACACAGATAGAGGCTGAGGCCTACGAGGCACAGTGAATGTGAGTGACAGAATGAGAATACACCTCATACTTTTAATCCCGGGGAAGCGGAGGGGAGGCAGAGGAAGAGGAGGGAGGGGAGAGGAGAGAACTTGTTTCTACTTTTGAAAAAAAAAGGGCAAACTGTACCATTAACCACAAAGCTTCCCCCTGCTTACACTGGATTAGTCCCATTACTGATTCTTTTTTTTTCTGCTCCGAAAGAAGCTGAGAGCATCAAACCGAGCAACAGGAACACCGCTCGTTATGTGACAGTTATGTTTGCGGACAGTTTCCAACTAGAGGATGACACGGGAGTGGATTTTCACTCCTGTCCTGTCCCACTCCCATAGAAAGAAATCTTGTCCCGTCCCACTCCCAGACCAAAGTTTAAAAAATAATCCCATCCCATCCCGCTCCTGGTAAATTGACTCCCGCTCCCATCCCGCTCCCGTTTAAACTGACTCCCGCTCCTGTACCGCTCCCGTATATTTTTTATATATATATTTTTATATATAGCAAAGGGTCTGAGATCTTGGCTGCACATGCGAGCAATTTTGTCGGTCAGACGAGACTTGACACCCGACGGCAATTTTCGCTTGATGAACGAAGCGATGCTTGGCTGATTCTTTCCCGAATCTGCCTTGCAAGTGTGCCTCTTCAGACCGCTCGTCCCCGAATCACTTGCGTACTTGACCAACACTAAACAAGTCTTACAAGCAGCGTACACCGTGCTAACACCGTCACATTCCACTCTTTTAAACTTAAATAATATGTCAGACTTTCCGACCAGTTCTGTGAACTTAATAGAAATGTCGTTACATCTTACTTTCCGCTGTAAATCATTTTTTGCTGCATCGACGTCTCCGCGGCTGTTAGCTCCTCCATCACTGCTATTTGAATTCTTGCGGTAAGCCGTGACAAAAAGCACCGATGGCTTCTGGGACCACTGGGTCATGTAGTTATTTTTTAATTGCGTTACATTGTAGGGATATTAAAAGGAAACTACAAAATGGTGGATTTACTTTTTTTTTTTTTTTTTCGTCTTTGCTATTGGTTGATTCCCGCTCCCGTCTGCTCCCGTTAATTATTTATCCCGTACCGTCCCAATCCCGTGATTAATAGCGAAGATGACTCCCATCCCGCAGGAATCCCGCGGGAATCCCGTGACCCGTGGGATTCCCGAAAAAATGTCAGCCTCTATTTCCAACTCAGGCAACTCTTTCCCAGAGAGAAAAACAGACCTCCAGTTGTCTCCTACTGAGCTACTGCCTGCATCGAATGGGCCTGTTACCTTACAACTACTGAAACTCCTTGTTAGAAGTTTTCTTTTTTACTTTCACTTGCCTGTTGCAGTGGGTTTGGTGCAGGGCTGGGGAGCAGTCCCTGTCATACCTGGGGTCGACAGGAGTCGACGGGCTTTCGGATTGCAATATCGAAAAGGTTGGATCTTAAAGCGACTCAGAAGGGAGAACATTTCTCACCAACAAATGCAACTCAAACATAAAAAAAATCTCGTGCCACTTGCTATATTCGCGCTACTTCTTACTCTTTTCAAGTCATCGAGTCATAGTCGTTTCATCTCAGTCAGTAGTACCACTGTTTGTGTAATGAATATATAGATAATGCTCTGAGATCATTTAAAATACAAAAATCTTTATTCAAACAATCATTTTCTTTCTGCTGGTGGCTGTGTGCTTTCTTCAAAAGGGAAAAATGGTGTAATAGAGCAGGGAATTTGTTTTGAATTTATTTTCTGTATCTCTCAATTCAAGGTCTTTCAAATATGCTCCTTTTAAACCTGTTTCCTCTTTAAAAATGACACCTTCACTCTCCCTACTCTTTATATCTAAGGATTGTTGAATCTTTGTTGAAGTCTATTTTAGATTCAAATTTGGAGAAATCCAATGGAGGAAAAGAGGAAAAAGTGCCAACCTTGGATCAGATCATTTAAGTGACACAAATGAAGAAAAACACAAAGCTTGTCCCTTTCCAAGCTAGAAAAATGTTTTTAATCGTATCATTTTGTCCATCAGCGGCTGTAAACATTAGCGCAGGACTTCCTGCTGGACATTTCTGCAGATTCAATGGTCAAACTGTGAACATTTAAGCTAAATGTTTTTTCATAACGCATTTACAACTTCCTACTTTTTCTTTGTTCCTCTCTACTAAGCAGATGGACGAAATCTGCAGGCTGCAAATGTTAATTAGTTCATAACTGTGAAAAAAAAAAACATTTTCACACTCCATAACTCACCTCACAGCGGCTATACAACTCAACTTGCAATGTCCGACGCACTTGACCAGTTGATAAACTGCTCTGTCAGGTAATGCTCCATAACCATTTAGCGCTGACCGGCAACAGTGGGTGATCGCGTCCAGCATTTTTAGCCACAAACAGATTAAGAACTTGTGTCCGATTTTCCAAAAGTCCGACTCAAGCTGTTCGTGATGTAGTGCTTTTATCATATTCTTCAGTGAGTGTGCCAGTGTCTCTAAAAAAAAATGGGGGCAGTTAATAGCCAGAAAATGCAAATGGGAGTGTTGCTACCCTGGATAGGATTCTTCCACAGTGGGATTAATCTGCAGCGGAATGACGAGCCCCGTCCAACATGGTAAACCGCGTCCCTTCTCCTCTCAGGACGACTTTCCCTCTGCACGTGCCGGAAAACGTTCCCAGCCCGCCTCCCTCCCGCTCGCGATGGAGGTCAGATGCTCCTTTCCCGCTTTTCTGCCCACATTAGCATCTCCAGTTAATTGGCACCATTTGCTGGATGGCATTGCCGGAGTTTGTAAATTACTTTCTACAATTGTCACTAATTATCAAGCTCAGTGAGTGGAAGTGGAACTATTGTTCCCCAGTGGAGCAGAAACACAACAGGAGGAGGATGGATTAAGACTTTGGGGGGTGGGGGGGGGCTGGCTAGCTGAGAAATACAGTAGCGCTACATGCTGATCAACAAGAGTCTATACAGATGGTGCTGAATCCATGTGCTGCATGCTCGATGCACAGTAGATGCAACTTGGCTGCATCTTGCTTTATTTTTCCACTTTTTTTGTTTTGCTGAGATTATGTCATTGCTTGTGGGTGGTACGAGAACATAAGGGACGTATCACAGTTTAACCACAATTAGGGTTAGTACTGCATCTGCTTTTGGCAGAAAGCTAATTAGCATGATATGTAGCAAGCAAAGGTTGTAAATTAGTTTATGGGTATATTTCTCTATTCTGAAGAAGTCTTGTGTAAAGTCAAGTAAAGTGTTTTCCAAGAGTCTGCGGAAATGTCAGCAGAAAAAATTAAATCTGTTCTTTCCACCTCCACCACATTCTTCGTCACTCTCACAGCACACATTTATTCACCATGTTTCTATTTTCTCAACCAAATGCCGACATCATAGGCCCAGCAGTCGTCCAATATAACCTGCCACTGATTGACTGTCCTCAATTTCGGATCTTAAAAAGCTGAAATATGCTCCACATAAAAGACATTTCATTCATTTTCAATGTTTTATAGTATTTTCTATAACACGGCTGCTGTGGGATACGGTGGGAAGCCTCTGTGCATGAAATGACATCAAGTAACATGGACATTCTTCAGTGTGCAAAAATAAAAAAAACCTGACATTAAAACGACTTCGATTCAGAATTAATTATATAGTGTCAGGGAAAATCTTCATGAAACGTTTGCGGTTTAACTTGGTTTTCCTCTCAAAGCTCTTCTGTGATTCTCCAAAAGTGGAGTCTTCTAGCAGCCATCTGACAACGTCTAAATATTAAACAACACGACGCACTTGAAATAAATGTTTTACATCTCAGGCGCTGACGCTCGGGCGTTTCGCGCCTCTCGTGTTGTTTGTACTTCCACGTTACGTCGTGCACGGAACTCTAAAGCTTAGCGGGCCTGCCATGCCTTGTTTCGTGACAAACAGCCATGCGTGTTGTGATGTTTATGTACATCGTCTCATGCTGACCTATGAGCAAGTGCTTCTCCCCACCCACGGCGGCGCGGTGACAAAGTCCGAATGGGGGGGGGGGGGGGGGGGGGGGGGTGTCTCTGGCTTATCTCCGCGAGATGACAGGCGGCGCGCCGTGCGGAGAACATTCGCTTCAAAGACACCTAATAATTGAGGACGGAGCAGTTATCTGTGGGGCTGTTTTCCTCTGTGATGTCAGTGTGAGCTAGACAGACCAGCCTTTCTCAAAAGGCCAGACAATTTGCGCTCCAAATGTCATGTTGTGAAAAGGCAAACATGGCCTGGTGGAAGCAGAGCAGGCAGAGACAAAGGCTCAGGTTAAAGACGCGCCACACAATTATTTATCCGCAAGAAAAAAAAAAAAAAAAAAAAAAAACCTCGCCAGAGTCCACACAGTGATTTTTCTTTCATGCAAATACGCAAGATGAATGGTCATCTCTTGCAAATTAGCGGTTGATTAAAAACACTTTGTTTTTCTCTGTTTGTGGTTTTTCCTTTCTTGAGTGTGGAGGAAATTGGATTTTGCCCTCTGGCATGGCGGCAGAATCAGATTGCGCCCGCAGTTGTGCAGGATCTTATCTGAGCCGCAGTGCTGGTCCAAAACATATTACCGGCCCCTCAACTCAGTGGAGATGGGCTCCGGCTCTGCTGTGCTGCTCACAGAGCAAAAAGGGAACACGGGGAAAGCAAAAAAAAAAATAAAAATACACGGATAACAAAGGCGACGACATTTTCAGATTTTCCACTTCCACTCTCTTGTGCTGCTCTCTCTCATCTCTGTGCATGTGCGAGTGAGGTGAGAGAGGCTGATGGATAAATCTAAAAGGATGCCGGCTCTCACGTGACCCGGAAAGGGCATATCGGTGCGGTGCAGTGGCTTGGGGTGCTGTTTAAAATCAAATGTGCACATATACGCAAAAACATTTGTAAATACATCACAAGAAATCTCTGCATCCTAACACACGTGACATCCTGCACGTACAGCCGGGAGAAACAATGGACGGGTGCGGCTGAGGGATAAATGGATGACAAGATTAAAAGGTATTTTAAGCCCATTACTCCTCTCCGTAAGTCGATTTCGCCGGTGTGTTTTTAGACTCTTGGAACCGAACTATTCCCACTGCACCAATGTCGGTTTTACCTGCTGGTGTTTTAATGTGGTGATAAGGATCTTAAATATCGTGGCTTTTTGCACCTAAAGCCAACCGTGCATCTGTCAGGACCCTGGAGAGGGCTTTTAGAGCCAGTCAGCTGCCTCTTGGTAAAAGGGGGGGGAAAAAAAAGAGACATTATCCTATATTGTCACACAGGAGAGCCAGCGGAGCACAGCTTGCTTACCCATTAGCTAAAACACAGCTGAGCAAGCCTATCACAGCTCCCCGAACACCTTCCCCCTTCTGTTTCTCCTTCTTCCACCTCCCCGTACGCTCCTCCTCTTCTGTCTTCTTCTCTCTGCGTGGACTCCATTGTGCTGTGGCACTGTTAGCCGGTTAGCTTGTTTGTTTAGCTCATCATCACTGTCCTCCCTCGGGCCGCACAGAGTTTATCTTCTTGCCAGTTAGCTGCCATGAAGCCCAAACACTGAAATAAAGCCAGTCTGCCAGGCAGCGGAAGCTCCATATCGCCGCTGCAATGCAATGTTACAGCTCCTTTTCGGTTTAAAGCAGCAGAAAATGGAAATGGCAAAGAGGGAAACTTTTTTTGTTTTTTTTTACTTTACCCTTTCTTTCCGAAAATTCTAGTATTTGCCTCTGAAAACAAGTTTCAACAGAGGCGAAGAATGCAAGGGCAATCAGGAGATTCTTGTCAAACTTTGGTGACAGGCGTTACACTCAACGCTGATGAGGCATTGAATTACCCGGTTAAGAAAATAAAGGGATGCAAAAAAAAGAAGAAGAAGAAGAAGGGCAACAGCGTGAAGCAGAAAATACGGCAGCAATGAGACGTTTGTTTGAAATCTGGCAGGAAACCGAGAATTTAATCATAAACGCGTCACCAATTGTTTGCATTGTACATTGCATACTTCAAAATGATCAGTTATATAGCCTTTGAACGCTTTTGCACACAAACAGCCAGAAAGACAGAAATACGTTATGTGCTTCAAAATGCGTTTTTTTGTAAAAAGACATGTAAGAGGACATGCACTTTCACCTTACATGCACTTTCAGAGCTTATCTGATTGGACATAACAATATATTAAACCTGAAACTCTACATTGATAACGGGAATGGCGGGATGATAGTGAAAGTTCCCCTAACAGCGCTTTTTCAAAGCTTTTTTTGTTAGGATTGGATTTACTAACTTTACAGATTTTATTTAAATTCACTAATGTTTCCGTTCATTTTAAGAATCATACTCAGGCACTGAACTTATGGTATGTCTATTTTTGTACAATTCCTCTTGTTTCTATGCGACATTAGATACAATTCTTCAACGACAACACTCAAACACACACATTTCTCATCACATCTCAGGGAACTCTGCATGGCCTGATCATGTCAGAGGGTACTGGCCAATAAGAAACGAACACGTCCATCCTTCCAGGCCCAGCCCGAAAAGATAAATGTCCATTATACCCGCAACTCTGGGCTCTTTTCCGACAGAGATCCTCAGGGAGCTTTGTCAATTAAGAGCCCGGCGCTGATTTACTTTTATCTGTGAACTCAATAAATTACACTTTTCTACACTCAGACTTATTCTCCGGCTCAGAATAAAAGAATCGGGCGAACAATTAAACATAAACACAAGCATGTGGCGTTGGCCAGTATACCCTTACGTCACACAGAAAGATAATGCTGATTTTTTCCATTGTCTAGCCTGCGAGGTATTAACCAACCTCCACATGAAAGCTGGCTTCCATCATTGGCTCTTTGTAACATATAAAAAGCAAGTGAGTCATTTCAATCCTGATTATGACGGCGATGAAGAAATGTGGTGAAGTGTCAACAGTTTGGACAAAGAAGAATTTCATTCCCCCCATAAAAAACATTTTACATTTAAATTCATCTTCAAAAGGGTTAAACCGGCCCAGAATTTGTTTCAGCAGAAACTGATGAAAAAAGGCTGTACCTTTAATATCCTATCCTTCAACAAATGTGATGTTGAGGGTTTGGGTCTAAACCTCTGGGCCTCTGGATCCCGGTCCAGTCACCGTTTAGCTTCAGTTTCTGAGCACCACAGCTCCTATGTGGAGCACACTTTAGCTTCAGACACTGCTGGACTCATTACCGAGTGTTAAAATGTCGCAGAGACAATTCTTTAAAAAAAAAGGAAAAAAGAAAAAAATGAAGCAGCCTGCAAGTCTGTGTCCTGTTAAATTGACATGTTCTGCAGCCTTTGAGGGGTCGGTAATGACCTCTCATCGCTGGGTGACACACTCTCTGTCTTCATTTCACACCCTCTTAGAGCAGCACAGATGGCCTTGGCATTTCCTTAACGGCCTCTGAAGTCTGTCAGACGGGGCTGCGGAACCGTTCGCATCTTCCCTCGTCTGGAAAACGTCGCAAAAGGGAAACGCTGGCAAGGGCCCGGGCTGGTTATTTCGGCGCTCGCCGTTAGCAGCTTTAACGCAACCCAACCGGCACGGAGACAACCGCACAGCTGTAATTGTTCTCCTCCTCACTTACGCACACATATCCCCAATCTATTTTGCATCGCTATGTACTAACAATGCTATTCCACGGGTTAATACACAGGTTAATGAGGCAGGACAAGGCCACTGTAAAATGCTACTAAACCAGCCATGCAGGATAATTCGTCTTGCCTCAGAAGTGTCAGCCACCGCAGCTCCCCGGCTCTTTAATTCATTCAAATGAATTTTGTTTTAATTGTTCCAGCCTTGGTGCTCACTAACTCCATTAGCAGGGAAACGGAGGGTGGGTGGTGGGTTTTAGGAGAGAAAGGTGGAGGGAGAGCGATGTAATTGGAGGCTGAAGACAGCGGAGAGGCACAGGGAGGGAGACACAGGAGGAGACGGAGGAAGGTTCACATTCCATGTGTGCGAACATGCCTCGATGAATAATTAATCCCTCTGTTGTGATTACACAATTACTCTCAGGAGCTGAAACTTTAACCAACCTTATAAAAGATGGAGGCATGTTCTCAATCCCTAACAGCGAGGTCTGCTGGTCCCATAGGTGAGTTAGTGCAAACTTGGAAAAGGCTGATGGGAACATGGGCCTATGGGACATGTGAGGAGATAGCGGGAGAGGCTGATGGAACGGCAGAGCTATATTTAACTGACCACGAAGAACTCGGGGCTGACCGAGGCTCGGGATGAGTCGCGCTGCTGTGATGCTGTTAGTTTTGCACAGATTTGGCACGATACAAAGACAAATGTCAGCGCGTCTTTGGAAGAAATAAAACATTTGATAGTTGTTGTTTTTTTCTTTGTTAATTGATAGCAGATTTTGGTTTGATGATAGAAACACATGCAAAAGCACAAAAGTATTAACAAACATTTGGAATATTTGTTGGTGAGTCCCCAGGCAGGACTATTCTTGGATTGCTTTGTCCTGTTCCTTATCGAGCCTTCTTTTTTTGTAATATCCCGACATTGAGTCTTATCTTCCTTATAATACCGGGATAGCATTTATGAATCGGTTTTAAGAATTTGATGTCATGGCACTCAGATTTTTATCATCATGGCTCATCATTTGTTTATGCATGCAGATGCAATTCACCGTTACATCCAAAGAATATGGAACCGCTAGTGGTCGTGAAAGGAACTTAAAAAAATAGCAAAAAATGGCATTATTGAGATGCATTGAATATTAAAAATGTATTTTATCCTCAGCAATGTTTGATTCAACTCCATTCTAACCCAAACCCATGGTTGCACACTGTTGGACCAAGGCTCATAGGGTGTTTTTCTATGTCTGGTGATAGCTTACAATGTATATGAAGCAGTAAATGTGTCACAAAAACATGTTTTCATGAAAAAAAGAAAAACTATTAATTCAATTGCCGGGTTGGATGAAAAATTACATAAAAAGCTAAGTAATATTCCATTTATTACTGTCACTATGAAAACTTTAATGACTCATTTGAATGACTCACAGGTTGGGCGAGGGGCGGGTCACACCCTGGTTGCCCGTCCATCACAGGGCAGAAGCGATTTAGCAGAGTGATCCATCTCCATGTAAGAACCACTTTTTTTTTTATATTTGTCAATACAAAAGAAAGGCAGTCATGTCCGGCGTGGGAGGGAGCACGCAGCATCCCACATTCTGCCGTTGCATAACTCGAGCTGTTTCCTGTGCTGGTGGCAAAAAAAAAAAAAAAAAACTCTCACTGAGCTACCGAGTGGTTAAAGTGGCAGCTAAAAACCCTTCACAGTCGGCTTCTCTTCTTCAGAAATGCAGTTTAATAAAATTAGGCACCAAATATTTTTATCTGAAACCCTTAATGTCTTCTCTGAGCGTTCTCTCCGGAGTAGAGAAAAAACCAAACTGGAAACTTCCCAAATGTTTCCTGATGGGAATAACCAGCTGGGATGCAGCATCAGACTCAGATTACCTGATTGTTTGACACCGGTAATAATGAAATTTACAATCGCCTAGACGTAAGGGAACAGTCAGCTTTGTATTAAAAAACATTGGGAAAAGTGCTGTCAGAGCTGACTTTGCTGTACTTCGGGGCTGTCTGGCGAGATGCGGTCCCCTAATGTTCATTAACTCGGAAGAAAGCTATCAGCGGTATGGCGCACGAGTCTAATTCAAGGCATCATGTAAACCGCAGAATAAATGAGCACAATAATCATTAGCGGAGTCCTCCAGGATGGGGAATGCTCTTTATGGATGAGAGGCTGGATTAAAGTTCACCGCAGATATGAATTTGTGTATGAATGTGTGTAGGAAG